TTTTGATAACTTTGTATTCTTCATTTTGGCCAACAGGTTGACCAGGAAGTAGACTGTTTTTAACCCCAAGTTGCAATTAGGCACAATGTTACAAAGACTTTCTAAATAAAGGACTACTGTTTAGTTGCTGGAAAAAAAGGAATACAAAATAAGTTTACTTAAAGTCATACTTTTCGATTGACTTAAAATGTATTATATCTTCAGTATATTGCTGGTATTGTAAACCACATATTCAGCAAGTGTTCAAACTAAACCTGTGATACCACTTCAATTTCTCGCCGTGTATGATGTTGGTGAAAAAAGGATTTACTGTTTGTATAGGACAGTTCAACTCAGGTTCTCTAAAAGGTATTTTGGATTACTCATTTCCTCATACAGTACAGTAGAAATTGGCTTATTGCCCAAATCTAAAAGAAACAATTTCCACTCTCGCTACAGAATTGTTCTTTTGCTTAAGACCTAAGATCGACCTGTGACTATTTTCTAATTTCACATATCATGGTTCATCCGCTTTTTTTACCCCCGATTCCAAATCTCAAATCACATTAACCCTCCCAAAAATGACACTTTGACACTTAAAAAAAATCCTCCTCCCGACACCAACAGGAACCTGGAAGCTTCCATTCCCAGGTTTCCTCCTATCTTGTCATTCAGGCATTGTAGTGAGCTTAACCCCCCCTCTTTCTCTCACATCCCTTTCCCCTTCTTCCATTTTTTTTTTCTTTCTCTGCCCCGTCGGATGTATGTTGTTGACACTGAGGCATCAGGAATAATGGAATCTCTTGTCAGTGGCTTGTATTTTTCGCCCAGGCTGTTAGGGCTGTGTATAATAGTCGCAGAGGAGGAGGAAGAGGGGAGGTTATGAGCCACTGATAGTAATGAAGGTTGCCTTTTTCATTTTTTAATATGGAATGTTTGTGGGCCGAGGCAATGCTCTCCGCTAATCCTACCCTCGAGCCGAGCAAGCTACATGGCTGTGTCACACACACACACACACACACACACACACACACACACACACACACACACACACACACACACACACACACACACACACACACACACACACACACACAATACATACGTCGTGTGCACACCTTCCTTTAGGCAAGACAGTAAACTGTTTGATAAGTCAGGGTGCATTTCTGTTCCTCATGAAAGTTTCACTCCTCCCGTGTTTGTGTCTTAAGGAAATGCAGCCAGTTCCTGTAGAAGAAGATATGGTATTTGTTCAATATGTGGTGGATATGAAAGCTTGAGTGCGTAGATGCATTCGTAAACCTTTATCTGGAGAAAGCGTAATGGAACAGTCCGGGCTGCCGGATGAGAAAATGACATCAGTTGGGGTTGTGATGAACACGGGGGTCAGTGTTTGTATCGTGCTGCTGTCATTTAAAAATAAAAATAAAAACGGGTTTGTCAGGAAGGAAGAAAGGAATATTTTTTTCAAATACACAGTTAAACAAATGTTTTTTAAACACCTGAAGTTAAGTAGATAGTAGGTATTTGTGTTTTCTTTACCACTTTAAGTGCAAATTAGTGTAAATGTTACTGTGTGTTTTGTTTTTTTCTTTAGCCAAGATACCTGTGTGTCAATAGTTGAGAGTGGCCCTTAAAGTCTGTGTATCCCACTGGCTAATATTTGTTTTTTTTCCCACTGGCTGTGTTACACAGGTGTGTATTTGTGTGTGCGAGTGTGTTTTCCGCCGGCTAGGGTGCAGGGTCTTCGGCACTGGAGTGTGCTGTGTGTCTAATTGCTTTAATAGCACCTGGTCTCTAATCCCAGGTAATTAGAGCGCTCAAATTAGACGGCTACTTTCAACCGTCACTTGAAAAAGCAGAAAGGGAAGGCCTGGAGGAAGACCACTCCACTCTGAAACTCTACACACACACACACACACACACACACACACACACACACACACACACACACACACACACACACACACACACACACACACACACACACACACACACACACACATACACATTCAAGCTTTTACTGACACGCACAAAAACATTTGGCTAAGAAGAGACAACTGGAGGAACACGTTTAGTTTAGAGAAGTATGTGCTTATGTGTAAGTTTAGTGAAATGAATATGTTTTCTCCCTCTTCTTAAGTCTGAATACCTACATTACGTTAGATAAGGGACAAAATGATTTGATGAGGTCGAAAAACAATTCCTCTCCTTATCCCCGTACAGTAGTTACGACCATGTTGTAATCGGTATTGACTTTCTGACTTTTTATCTATTTTTTTTACCCCTCGGTTTGTTTGAGTGGCACGCAGGCATTGTCGAGGCCGCCTAAAACGTGTCTGGAGAAGCTGCGGGGAAAGGTTAAGGCCCACTTTTAAAGATGAGCCGGAAATGTCAAGTGTCCGCCCCTCAGGCTCCCGCTACCGTCTCCCTGCACTGAGACTGCCGTAGGGGCCTGCATGACACACACACACACACACACACACACACACACACACACACACACACACACACACACACACACACACACACACACACACACACTGGTACAAAGGTTAGGATTTGCTGTTAGAGATTGCCTCCGGTGCCTTTCATCTGATTTGGCCCTTGTGGCATCTCAGCAGGCTCCAGGCTCGCGGTCACACGGGTTAAACTACGACAATGGAAGAGTACGAGACATCCAGGTGTTTATAGACTTCAGCTAACTCACTAATGTTGCTTCAGTTCTTCATTTGTTTATGCCTGTTGACATTTCAAACCAATTATGTGTTAGTGTCGTAGCAGCAAGGACAGCCTCATATCTAAAGGCCTTAATCCTGTCACAAAGTTTGTGTTACGTTTTGGTTCAGATTGTCTTAAAATGTTGTCTGTTCTCTTCTAGGTCTCTGCGTTTGGCCTAAGCACACATCTCTTTGGAGTGATGTTGTCTAGCCAGTATTTTTAATTCAATTCAAATTCTATTTATTTCCAATGCCCCTGATGATTTTCTGAACGATTTTCTGTCTGCTTTTGAGGGCTGGAAGATGCTTAACGGAGCACACTGTCCCCTTTACATAATAATTGTTTTCCTCCAAATTCCCAGAGCCAAATTTGTATTTTTATTTTCCTATATTTTCTGAGGCTCTCGTGTTCTTGCAGTAGCAGAAAGCCGCCAACAGAGGGGGTTGGTGGGCCACCACACGCCTTGTTACAGCGCTGAGACTCAAGCAGTCTTGTGAGCTGTGTTTTCTCATGGCCTTCACTGTGTCTTAAAAACTGGGTTAACTTGTTACGGTGACCAGTACCAGGCTGTGTAAAAGCAACATCTCTTCATTCACTTTTTCAATGCTAAAGGTCAAGTAAAGCTTTGACGAATGAAACCATCCAGCGCTTTGACATTAAACATCACCTCTCTGTGAGGGCAGCAGCAAGACCACATTTGCATTTGATCTAAACCAATATTTTACTAGAAATTACACAATTAATACAGAACTATTAATTAACAACAGAGAACCTTAATATAGTTCAGTGAAGCAGTTTTGTCTTGCATGCAATCCAACAAATGCTGTAGTGTTTTTTCTAAAGTTGTACTAGTATTTACCATGTCATCCTTTAATGTGTCTGATATTAAAGTCAAATTAGGCTTAATGAAAGTTAGACACCCTGCTTAAACACATTGTGTCACACTATGAATGAAAGCTGTGTTATTAGTCATATGTTAATTTCATTGTCCTGCATATAATAGAAATATTTGAACACATTTCATAGTCTTTTTGATCACTTGCCTCTAATGAATTTAATCAAATCTCAGTGACATTTTTTTGCCATTTCTCTCCGAAACGATCTGAGAGAATTAGCGCGTATCTGTCGCTGCATAACCAGATTAGTGAACAGCGGGCTGAATAATCAGAATAGCATTGGTTCTGCTGGACGTCAGAGGAGGACCAGTGTCTCCACGCCACAGAGGATTTGTGGGATTTGGAGTCTGGGAGAGGAAAGGCTCCTAATGGTGAAAGCTTTCGACCCAGATAAGACTTCAAAGGCGGAGCTAATTAATAAGATGTTTACATTATCCACGGTCATACACTGCTTTGTGCATGACCCTTCGTTATGGCGTGTGTGTGTCTGCGTGAGTGTGTGTGCTTGAATGTGTGGCTTCATTGTATGTCGGTATGGCAAGCTAATTGGATGGGTGGAGGTTGCTAAGTAAAACATTTAATTGAGAAATAAATAATGAAAGGAGCTCAGACTTTGATGGGTGGGGGGGGGGTGGCATCGTGGACAATCTTTTGTGCCAATGGTTTGGAATGTAGTATGCTCTCATACCAGTTAAAAAAACACATTTAAGACACATGTAACCCATTTAATAGAGATATAATCCAATAGAGACGTGCTGCAGTATGAACGTTAAACCTGGACATGAGTTAGTATTTTACCGATTCTGGTTTCCTTGTCTCAAAGTCAATTTATTTTGGACGTGCTTTTGGTTAAATGCCTGAAAGAAGGTCTGTGGTTAACACAAGCTTAAGAGATTTTCACTTGTTTTGAAATCATTAGCCACACCACACCTCACCACCTAAGGGGTGATGAGGTGAAGTCATGTGACCGCTATGTGGTTTGTTTATAGCATAACGTTAGCTTTTACTTCTGATGATTGCATTCAGGCTTCAAAAATCCTGATGTAGTTTCAAGATGTGGAGATTTCCTGCTAAACCAAACATATAAATTCCATAAACTATTGTTTGCCACAGAGATTATCTTCTGCAACATTCAGAAATCCAATGGAAAAATCTCATACCTTTTTTTTGAGGGAGCCCTTGCGATGCTAACTTCCAAGTTGGCCTACAAAAATATATTCTCCCTGCACCACCACGTGGATTATTCACTTTCAACTATCAGTAATAATGTGTATTGCCCTTCTGACCCAAAAACACAGCCCTCATTTAGGGAAAGGATATAAGTATGTCGCGTTGATGCATTTCATACTGTGAAGGTGGAATATATTGAAAGATTAAACTCAAAACCTTTGTTCTTTGCTCCTGCAGCCCAGCCCCATCCCGAGCCCGGTTCTGGGAGGGAAGCCCAACGCCAGCCAGTCTCTGCTGGTGTGGTGCCGCGAGGTCACCAAGAACTACCGCGGGGTCAAGATCACCAACTTCACCACGTCCTGGAGGAACGGCCTGGCCTTCTGCGCCCTGCTGCACCACTTCAGGCCCGACACAATGTAGGAAACACACACACACACACACACACACACACACACACACACACACACACACACACACACACACACACACACACACACACACACACACACACACACACACACACACACGTAAATACAATAAAATAGAAATACAAGTAATTGGAATATTGATATATATATAAGTTGCAAACAGATGAATGTTATGGATGTTCTTTCAGAAGTGCAGGTGTTTAATAGTCTTATGGCCTGTGGGATGAAACTGACTCAGAGTCTGGTTGTTCTAGTTAGACTAGTGAGGTCATTTCGGGTGGAACTCAGACAGTTCAAATTTCACAAGGCGAAGTAATAATCAAAGTTAAAGAGTCTGGAACATATTTAGATTGAATGTAATGTTAAATGTCCGTTCACTTGTTTCTTGTCTTTATGTTTGTCCTTGTTGATGTTTTTAATGAAACTGCAAGAAAAATCGGGTCTTATTATTGTATTAAATGTTTAGTGTTCAATGTGTGTATACAACATATGGAAAACCTGCAGCCCCATCAAGGGAGCAGACATGAAGATTATTTATCTAAACCGTGTGTGTGTGTGTGTGTGTGTGTGTGTGTGTGTGTGTGTGTGTGTGTGTGTGAGAGAGAGGGAGAGTGTGCATGTGTGTGTGTGTGTCTGTCTGTCTGTCTGTCTGTCTGTCTGTCTGTCTGTCTGTCTGTCTGTGTGTGTGTGTGTGTGTGTGTGTGTGTGTGTTATTTTTACATATTTTCCACTCTATTAGTTCTGTTGATTGCACTGCTATGAAATTGCATGTTACAGTTCTAATGCCATTACATGTGACGCATATTTAAACTTTCTCCGCTATCTCTCTCTGTCCCCCATTCTCTCTCTCTCTCCCTCTTTATTTTCTCCCTGCCTGCCTCCTCTCCCACCTTCCCCACTGTTCTTCCAGAGACTACAAGTTTCTCAATCCTCAGGATATTAAAGAAAACAACAAAAAGGTAAGAGGCAGCCACCGCTGGGCCCTTCACACCACTTAGCTCCCTCCCAACCACATCTCCATTTGGCCTTATTTAGAGATCTGCCATTAATCCCTGGATGTACTGTGCATGTGTGGTTCATGGTTTAAATGGGGAGAGGGGAAACACACATGAAGGCTAACAAATACACTCACAATTACACATGAACTACAGCCAGACGTTATAATGACAGTGTTTCCAAGACGTTCCCCCCGCTGCGATGTGTCTACGTGGCAATAACTGGCCGAGGTGAGATGCTATCTTAGCTCTGCTGCATGCTGGGAGATTACCAAACTGCCTCTGCTTAGTGTGTTTAAGTCACTGTGTATATAATAAGAAAACATTTGTCCTGTGTTGATTAGATTATTTTGTTAGTATTTCTGTATAACAGTGTGCAGGAGGGGTAATGCATCTGTTTACTGCTAACTGTAACCATAGGTTGTATAATACCAAGTGGAAGTTGTCAGCATGACATCATCCCTAAGTATGTGGAAAAAGGTTTGAAAGCCTCTTGTTTGGCATTTACGTTGCCATCTTGTTTTTTGGAAGTGCCATGACAGGTTTGAAATAATTACAATCCAACACTAAACAAGAAACAACGTAAAAGACTTCAAATGTTGGGAAGAAAACACAAAGACGACCTGGATAGAGAACTGTCGACTGTGTGCTAGTCAACCGTAAAGCATACGCTGCTGTTTTACTCCAAATGGGACCATCGTTTACTAAATGAACATCACGTTAAGATTGAGAGAACTAGCTCATGTTTCCAATGTTTACTTGCGTGATAAATCATATAAGAAGAAGGGTCATTTTCTTATAGACTTCCACACAACCAGACTTTTAACTAAAGGTCGTACAGGCCATACAATAACGCATGTTTAAGGCACTTCATATTGGCTTAGCTTTTTATGCTTCACTTTTTCACAATGCTTAAGATAGAATAAACCGTCCATGTTGGTTCAGAGACATCTCGTTGGTTTGATTTCTGTCCTTTCCTAAAACATGTCAACCCACATACAGTAAATACATTCACTACTAAAGCACACCTGAATAACCCATTCACACCTCGCCCTATGTCATCATATCTTCACATTCACAGTTTGAGGTGCACACATTTCCATTTCCTCCTCCGTCCCTCTGGCTCTTGTCGAGCACATTAACTTTTTCCCAACACACAAATGCACACCTCTATTTTTCCTTTCCTTTTGCTACTACACACTCACACACATATATACTACACACCATCACCCTGGCCCCTCTCTGGCCCCGAGGGCTACACAGAACGATATGCGTCGGGTTCCTGCAGCATTATTTCCTCTTCTCACACACACTCTGGCTCAGCGATAACCTCTGGTGGCCCTGTTAGGCATGAATGCTACCCTGTTGACAATAACCACAGTGGAGGGAGAGGGAGAGACCCAATCCCATATCTGCTAACTGCCCCTCACCCCCCTCCAGGTGCTCAAGTAGCCCTGAAGAAATTGGCTAGATATAAGTAATATGGGAATATGCCGTAGAAGGTGATAGCCGGTGAATAGCTGCAGCTCTGTGAGACCTGCTCCTCTGTAAAGATCTACACCGGCTGCTGATGTACATTTGACCAAGCATGCTCCCTTCAGAGGATACGAACTGCAGGTAGATATCAGCGAACTGACTCCTCCTGCCAGAGTCCTCATGTGGCCTTCAAGGATCTAGGTGCATAAGCAACATTGGATATATGCCATAACAACTATGTTAGTACTGTCAAGTTTGGTTTACTTGAGCAGGGCAAGTGTTTTTTGAACGTCCTTAAATGTTCCAGGGTCATTTCTGTGTGTAGAATGTGTGCTTTTACTTCATTCACCCAATCTTAAATACGTTTACTTAATTACAAAAACTATAAAATGTTCCTTTATGCATCTTTTTTGCTTCACAAAGCACAATTAGTTAAAGAAATTAACCTGCAAGAAAAGTTTACCAGCGAAAACATTTCCTAGAAAGGTTTTACTTTAGAAACCTTCATGAATAGATGGATTATTTATTTTCTAATTTGTTCGAGGCCTCACACAAATACATTTACATAAATACATTATACACCACAACATAACTACATAAAAAAACGTCAGAAACATCCACATTTATACACACATCACATCTACTCACAAGATATATTTGGTAAGGAGACCATCATGTGCGCGGCTTATTGAACAACACCTGAAATCAATGACTGATATATTCGGTAATCAGGGTTCCTGCTTAATCTGTTTTCTGTAAACTGTAGTTGTTGTTTACCTTTGTTAGCAGCGACTACATTTTTTATATAATCAGTCCGTAACGTTAGCAACCAGTGAAATAGCCACATTTTATTGGTACATTGATCATTTAGTGCTTGCAGAGCAATTTCCTAGAATGCAACGAGCCAGATATAGATGTTTGGGATTGAATGTCTGCACGTGAACAGATTTTGTTAGCATGTGAGATGTGACGACTGAGCACACTTGCCAACCCTACCGATTTTCGCGGGAGACTCCCGATTTCATTGCCCTCTCCCGGTTTCCTCCCGGCGGGGTCATATTTCTCCCGCATTTCTCCCGATTTCTGACAAAATCAGATTTACTCACGGCTGTTTCCACTCTGACTTTAATACAGCTACACCATTGTTTGGTTTCCATGGTAGCGCGTCTCTTTAGTAGCATGCGCAACTGCAAGTCTGAGAGGGTGAGGCGTTCTTATTATACATCCATGGGTGAGGCAGATAGTCACAGAAAACAGAACAAGAATCGACAACTCTACCCTCTGCTCACTCCTTTCCTGTACAAAATCCAGCCCACACATATGCTCCATCAAGGATGGTGCTACAGGCCGCAACTACAATAAGCATGTTAATGTTAATCTAACCGCTCCGGCGATCCACTAGCCCCGCGGTGGTTTTGAAATGCTCCCGATATCTGAGGTCTCAAGGTTGGCAAGTATGCGTCTGAGGGATTGTACACTATGGAGAATGTTGGTATATATCCATCAGTAACACAGATAGTACATTGTAAACATATGATACTCTGTATGGTTGGAGGCTGTGATTGTAAAGGCCAGTGGGTTCAGGTGAAATGAAAGGGGAGAAACGCATCGTGTGGTGTCATGTAGCACCCTGAATGTGTTTGAACAGGAGAAGGGTGCCCATGACGCCCTGCACGAAATAAGGAAACACTCACGCCAGGCACGGGCTCGGATAGAATAATGATGCAGGTTAAGGAGCCCGTAGAGCAAGCAATGGAAAAGAAGAGAGAGAAATGAATGTACGAAGAACAGAATGAAAGAGCGTGATGAAAAAAAGACTTATCTCCCATCCACCATGTTGTATAGAGTTGCTTTATAAAGAGTTATTAGAATGTATAGAATTTATTGAATGGACAGCAGAAATGGAAAAGTGTAGAAATGACAACTATCTCCGCTTTTCATGGCGAGCTGATAGACATGCCCCCTCCTCCTTTCCCGGTCTATCTGTGAAGAGTGATTGCAATGAGCTCAGACTGTGCTGAATTATGACAGATAAGGACAATCAATATTGGGGGTGCGTAGGAAAAAAAATAGGGGGAAGTGAATATTCAGAACAGCCTTTGAAATGATCCATTATCAATGGATATGTGTATGTATGGATGATTGTGTGTGTCTATATGTTTGTTTAGTGTGTGTGTGTGTGTGTGTGTGTGTGTGTGTGTGTGTGTGTGTGTGTGTGTGTGTGTGTGTGTGTGTGTGTGTGTGTGTGTGTGTGTGTGTGTGTGTGTGTGTGTGTGTGTGTGTGTGTGTGTGTGTGTGTGTGTGTGTGTGTGTGTGTGTGTGTGTGTGTGTGTGTGTGTGTGTGTGATGAGGCCAAGGAGAAGTCATTTGTCATGCCATCTGATAGTGTAGCACCAAGCACCGGGCTAAAGCTCCCTGAGCACAACCTGTTAGGGGTTGGGCTGAGGAGGGGGGGGGGCTCTGATGAATTGAAAAACCGATAGATATCTGTCAGTCACTGAGAGAGAGTGGAGGGGGGGGAGGGGGGGGAGCAGCGGCCCAGGGCAGGAGACGCTGACATTTGAGTCCAAATCAAAAGCTTTGTCAGCCCAATGATGGAAATGAGAAAACTTGATTTTTTTTCTCCCAAAATACATGATTTTGTTATTGGACAGAAATGTAGCTTTTCGAGCGGTCAGGAATACAGAAGTTCAGTTATTTTGGTAGGTGGATTTCACATGTTATCAACCAAGCAGTAGGGCTGATTGATAAAAATGAGATCATTAGTATTTATTATAATTACATTTTACCAAGATATAAATCAGGAAATACTGAATTTGTGCCAAATCACAAATCAAATATTGCAGTACATTTGTTTCACTATTAACGCATACATGAAATACCAAAACTTCATCAACTCATTGTTTGCTTTTAGTTTGGTTGAATAAATTCATCTGTAGACCAAGATTTTTTTTTTTGTGAAGTTAAACAATTATGATTTGATTATGTTTTTAAAAACAATGAACAATGATATTAATAAAGTAGAATACAAATGTATATTGAATAACTCCTAATTCGACAATTCATGCTCTCCTCTTATCAGGAAGTGTGTTTTCACTTATACATATGTTAACATTCTTGATGGCCCATTGCCCCTTTTGCTTGATAATCATTTAAAAAATAATTGCCATAATTATGATTTAACTGTTGAGAGGGGGCGCATACTGTAGGCTACCCCCTTACTAACAAGTCGGTCTTTTCAAACCGGTCTTGTCTCAGTGTCTCAGTGTGACATGATCCATGCTCTTCAAGCTAAGAGAGAAGATGTAGAAAGAATACATCTGGACACTGAGGTCAAAAACACTAAAGCGCATGTCGAGACTAACATCGACCCTGAAACAAAATCCAGTCTCCCTCCCTTCTTCCTCCTCAAGAAGCTCCCACTCTCACTCTTTTCTCTTTCTTCCTTTCTGTCCCTATTGAGCGGCAAAGTTGTCGCTCTCTTTCAC